GTCCTTTCCTACTTTCCCATTCATTCACTCATTGGTTCATTCATACTTTAATTGAGAGCCCACTAAGCACCAAAGATAGAGTTAAAAGACACAACTTTTATCCTGTGCTCAAAGAACTCACAATCTAGGGAAGAGAGATAGGTTAAAAGTAATTAAAGTACAATATGATAAGTTCTGCGATAATATTAAGCAAAGAATGTTATGAAAAAGAAGAAAAGCTGGTGTACCAATTATTATCCACAAAGTGGGGACTGGGGGGTTAGAGAAGGTGATACTTGAGTCTTAAACAAACAATAGGAATTAACCAGAGAACTGAGAAGAGAGTGGGTATTCTAGAGGAGGTAAGCACATGTTCAGAGGTATGGGGGAGTAAGGCAGCACAGCAAATTCAGGACACTGAACAAGTGGTTCATATGGTATGCAAGAATCAGAATATGCTGAATTTTGCAATGCAGTGTTAGGATATTTAGATTTTATCCTGAAAGCAATGGTGAAACATTTTGGACTTAGAAGAGCAAGATTTCCAGATAAAATATGGGATGCTCAGTTAAATTTGAATTTCAGATAAATAAATAATTTTTCAGTATTATGTCCTACGTATTGTCTGAGATATACCTACACTTACAATTATTCATTGTTTATCTGAAATTCAAATCTAACTGGGTACACTGTATTTTTATTTGCTAAATCTGGCAATCATAACCAGGAGAATTACATGTTTATACCATATTTTTAAAAAGATGACTCTGGCAACTGTAAAAATTGGATTGGAGGAAGGTAAGATTGTAACAGAGAGATCAGATAAGACGCTGCAGAAATGCAAGTGAGAAAATCATTAGGGCAGGAACCAAGGCAATGGTAGTGAGACAAAGAGGAAACGACAGATTGTTAAAGCTATTCAATAGGACAAAGGTCTTGGTCACCAAGTATGTGTAGGCAAAGGAGATCAGGACAACCCCTATTTCTAATGAGTGATGACAGATAATGCCATTAACCATGGTTGGAAATATAGAAAAAGAAGAAGGGTTCTGTTTTAAACATGCCAAATTTGAGATTTCTGTAAAATATCCAAATATCTTGTATCAAACTGTTAGCTCCTTCTTAGCCAAACTTCCGAGCACTGAAGTGCTTCAGGACTCAATTCTAGGCTCTCTTACTATATAGTCTCCAGCTTACGATGATTCATTCAACTTAGGATTTTTCAATTTTATGATGGTGCGAAAGCAACAAGTATTCAGCAGAAACCATATTTTGAAGTTTGATCTTTTCCCAGGCTAGCGATATGCCACACAATAGTCTCTCATGATGCTTGGCAGTGGCATTGAGCCACAGCTTCCAGTCAGCCACGTGATCGTGAGGGTAAACCACCAATACTCTACTGTGTTATCAGAGATTTTACCCAACTGTAGGCTGATGTAAGTGCTCTGAGTACGTGTAAGGTAGGCTGGACTAAGCTATGATGTTTGGTAGGTTAGGTGTATTAAATGCATTTTTGACTATGATATTTTCAACTTACAATAGTTTATCAAGATGTAATTCCATCGTGGGTGGAAGAGCCTCTGCACTCTCTCCCAGAGTAATCATTTCTAATCCTATGAGTTTAAATAGATATCCTAAAAGAGTCTCAAAGTCATACTTTCAGGCCTGACTGCTCCCTAAGCTCCAGAATCATATATCCAACTATCTAATTGATTAGACTTGGCTATCGAACGGGCATTTTAAATTAAATATGTCCAAAGACCATTGAGGCTCAGAGGGCTAATTTAGGGTCACACGATTAGCCTACACTTGAAACAGGTTTGTGCCTCTACTATATTCTCTTTCTACTACTCATTACTGCCTTGCACAGTTCTCAGCAAGCCACACACATGGCTCTGCATACAGCTGGGCTCAGAACATCTGTACAGTGCTGCCTGACTACAGTGTTCCCCTGACCCCTAGCAGCTTTGCCTTGTTTCAACTGGGCCTTGTCTCCCTTTCCTCATATGCTAAGATACAGACAAGCTCTAAAGCAAAGCCTCATGTCTTGAACATAAAGAGCAGCCTTCTAGCTACTTGGCTGCTCTAAAAGTTAATTACCATACTCTCAAAGTAGTCACTATGACATATCAAATGCATACCAGTGGGCAGAATCTGGGGAGGAGGAGGTTGCCACTGGGATGTCCCCATGGTGGGAAGAAGCACTTCAGCCAAGCAGTAGCTAATCAGTCTCCCTTATACAACTGTGTACATTTACTAAAACTATTCCTATTTTCCCTTACCTCCTACACATCTACCTAGCACTAAATTTTATCAATTCTTCCTCCAAAATGTATCCTGAATTGTGCATTTCTTTCCATCCATTGCCAACAGCATCCATTGCCAACAGCATCTCTTGTCAGGACTACAATTGTCTCCTAATGGGACAGTCTCCTTGGTCGTCTATGATTTCATGTCCACATAGCAAGCAGAGTAACCTTTCATGACAATTCCCACTAACAACCCCTTAGTGGGTCCTTGCAACAAAGCCCAAACTTGCCTGTGGCAGATATGGAGATACTCTGATGAGATCCTTCTTTACAGAAGGCCTTGTTTCCCAGCTGCAGTGAGTGCTGTGAGCAGACAGCCTGTAGCTGTCAACAACTTCAGCATGTGCCTCAGCTGCAGAGAGCTGCCTTTCTAGTGGTTTCCCTGGGCAGCCCACATCTGGTGTCTGTGTGAGGCAGGCAGGGGTATAAAGACCTGGCCATTTCAACCAGATGTAGGGAGACTCTGATGGACAATACCTGCTCCAGAGCTTCCCACTGAGTTGGCTAAAGCTTTGTTGGGCCTGCAACACAGTTTGACTTTGTCCTTTGTCCACTCCTATTTCTTTCCTCTTCCTTTCCAAGGATACCTAATGAATATCTTCTACCCCAACCTCATTTCAGCATGAAGTTCAGCTAGCCAAAGATCAATAACTTAAAAAGAATGTCCCTGGCTAATCAGACATTCCTAATCAGACACTAGTACAACATTCAGTTTACTTTATAGTGGTTATCACAATATCTCATAATCTTTATTACTGATATATTTGTTTACATGGCTTTTTATAAAGAATATAAACTCCAAGGGCCAGGAGTATGTATAGTTCACTGTAACATCCCCAGCATCAAGCTTAGCACATAATGTAGGTGTTGAAAAGATAATTGTTGAATGAATTAATAAAGGACTCTATGGGTCTAGCCCATGAGAGAGGACAGGGCTGGAAATCTAAAGTATATGTGGTAGCTGAAGCCACGTCCAAGGATGAGATTGTCCAGGGAAAAGGTGGAGAACAAGAAGAGCCAAAGGCCAAGGATAGATCCTTCCTTTGGGCCACCAACATTTAAGAGGCAAAAGAAAAACATGAACCAACAATAGATTGAGAAAGAATAGTCTAAAAAGTGAGAGAATAATCAGAAAAGCATTGGTAAGAGTAGCAAATATTGATGCCTCACCCTATTCTCTCAGCTTACTCCTCTGTAGCTTTCTGAACAATTTATTGAGATGCAGCTGGTTTCTTCCTTCAAACATCTATATTTTTTGGTCTGAGGCATTGTCTAGCTATGGGAGATATTCACTTCCCACAATGGGCAGGATGAAAATACCAGGAGATTAATACTCCCCAGGAGTGAAGCTTAGAAAGGAATCAGTGGATAAATACCTCAGCTTCCTTACTCCTCAGGGGAACAACTCTGTGGTGTATTCTACACAGTCTCTCCGAGGGTCCCCAGCAAAACTGAGCCCTGGTTGCCCACAGCATTTAACCAGTTTATTAAGCAACCTTCACTGCCCTTCCTCCTTTAGCTTTCTTACTTTTCCACTCTGATGCTTTCAGGTATGGCCTTGCAAATAAACTACTTGTATCCAAATTCTTGTCTCAGGTCCTAGTTCCGAGGGAAAATAAAACTAAGACAATAAAGAAGCCACAAGGTGAAGGAAATTCAGAGAGGGAAGTGTTTAACTCTATGAAATGCAGATGGAGTTAGAACTGACCATTGGATTTAGCAACAAAGGGGTATTTGGTGACCTTGGGAGAGCAGTTTGAAGGAGGTGATGGAGGCAGATGCAGACTGCAGTGGGTTAGAAGAAGTAAATGGAAGGTGAGGAGGTGAGGAACATTTCCCAAATAGTCTTCCATAGACTACACTAGCTTCTCAGGAAATTAAAAAGTGCTCAACATACCAAAAAGTTGTATGATCAAATCAAACTGGGAAACAGATTTTCCATTACAAGAGTCTCAATTTTTCCCCCTCTTTTTGAAAACTTACCCCTAAATAAAAGGACTACCAAGATTAGAAATGCAAAGCCCCCTTTTTTTGATAAACAAGGTAGGTGTCATCTAAACTGGCAAATCACAATATAAAAAGGTGGAAATAAATAGATTAGCAAATAATTCAGCAGAGTAGAAGAACAAACCTAAATGTTTGCAATGAGGGACACTGATGAGAAAAAAGCAATCCACTCTAGAGAACAACAGAAAAGCTCAGAAAGCAGAAATTCCAGAAGGTGGGAGTCAGGTATAAAGGATTAAAAGCTATAAGATTTCAAACTCTGTATAAGTAACTATCCAGGATGGATGCCACACCCAACTCAGCAGTTAAACATTTCCATTTCTCCATTCCCATGGGAGACAACAGATATATTCTCTGAAGAAACTGATATAGAGAGGCTTAGATGTAGGGACATGAGACACAGAGGAGGCTAGGTTGAAGTGCCACACTATAAATGGAGGTGGTGGAAGATGGCTAAGTAAAAATGTGCACTCTGAACAGTGAGCCCCTCAAACTCCTATATCCATCCAGCTTGAGAAGGCCAGCTGCTAAAAATATACAATCCACCCCAATCCCTACTGATTTACTTGTAAGAATCATTAAGTCTATAGAATTTCTCATGTTCTGATTTTGGCTTATTATATCCTTTGTAGTATCATTTAACATGTTTCTTTATCCCTGTATTTCAGGTAAACTGGGATAGACCTAGAGCAGTGGTTCTCAAACTTTAGCATGCTTCAGAATCATCTGGAAGCTTGTTAAAACCCAGATTGATGGGCTCTACTTCCAGAGTTTCTGGTTCAGTAATTGGGATGAGGCCCCTAAACTGGCATTTCTAACAAGTTACTAGGTAATTCTGATGCTTCTGTTCCAGAGATCACACAAGAGACCATCAATCTAGAACAGGGTTCAGCAAACTATGAACCAAACCTGGCCCACCTCTTGCTTTTGTATATGAAGTTTTACATGACACAACCATGCTCATTCAATTATATACTATCTTTGTCCAATTTCATGCTACAATAGCAGAGTTGAGTAGCTGTGACAGAGACCACATGGCCTGCAAAGATGAAAATACTAACTAGCCTTTTAGAAGAATGTTTGCTGACCCCTAATCCAGAAGGTTGATTAAGATTTTTTGGCATGATAACTTCAAGTGTATCATATCAGAGGAAACAAAGTCTAGTTGATCCTGTTTGAGTGGTGATTTCAGTCCGATCTGTCCATTACAAAGTACCCAATACTGACCTTATACTAATGGTTTTAGTATCCACTGCTGATCACTACCTTAATATATTATTTCATTAGGGGTTACGAAATGTAATTTTTCTAATCCTATTATTATTCTTAAATTTATTACCTGGCATTATTATATAAATAAGAATTCTCCAGTATTAACCGATCAACACTTAAGTGCACATATATATAGAAGCAACATTCATTGGGTGTTGGGCATGTGGGAGGGGGTGAGGATGGGATGGGTACATACACACCTAATGGGTGCAGTGTGCACTGTCTGGGGGATGGACGCACTTGAAGCTCTGACTTGGGGGGGGCAAAGGCAATATATGTAACCTCAATAATTGTACCCCCGTAATACGCTGAAATTTAAAAAAAAAAATCCATCCCCTCAAAAAAAAAGAATTCTCCCTGACCAACTATTTGGTTACTGAAATAAGTCTTCTGTACTGCAAAAGCAGGATAAATGCTTGAAATTTTTCTGCTTGTCAATATTCAAAATAATAAGTTCATACTCCAGCAACTTTCAAAGGTGACCACTTAATACATTCTAATATCATGAAGTTTATATTTGATCTGTTTCAATCCATTGCCTTAATTAGTATTTTTATTTTTGATGCTCAAACTTGACCCATCTTTAGCCAGTGGGAGCCCCTTCCAGTTGGCTTCTGTATTCTTTTGCCATAATTCTCTTGGTTTCTTTGCTTTCTGGTGTGAAAGATGTCCTAGACTCCCCTTGAACTCTCCTGCCCCAGACTTGGAATCAGCCATTTTCTCCAAGGAACCCTGAACTAGACTGTCATTGCTGCTAAGTCTTTCAAGTGGGCAGAGCTAGGAAATATGTATTTAAAAAAAAATCATTAGTTCGTAATGATATTTCCAATTCAAATTTAAGATTTTGAAATGTGTACCTAACTTCTTTGGTTCAGTACTTGTACTTTTTTTTCTCTCTTATGCTAACATTTTGGTCTTTTTTGTTTTATGCTACAATATAGCTATGTTATTTTTCAATTGATAATGCCAACATTGTTACTGTCAATA